TAAGAAAAAATTAAGAAATGTACTTGTACCTTTATTTACTTATTGATTTATAGTATATGTAGATTTTATTGTATAAAGTTATTCCTAGGTTCTATTAGGTGTTGGTTGTTGACGGGGAAATAGGGGGTGGGGGAAGAATGATTAGAATGAAGATAAAAAGAGTTTATCTGTTTAAATTATTTCTTATTAAGACAAAATACTCATTTTTTGCAAAATAGTTTTATATTCAGATGTTTGTCAGTGCTAACTTACCCTTTTTTTAGTGCAGAAAGGTCAATATTTATGACAGAAGAGTACGAAAATAAAAGAAAACGTCATATTTCTCGTTTATTTTATCATAAAGGTATACTTTTTTCCTTGTTAAATTAAAGAGAGGGGTCAGTTCTTTCAAATAATATAAATTACAACATTTTCACACAAAGACTTTTTAAGATATTACCTGTTATGTATGTCAGAATTGTAAAAAATACGACAAGAAAAACGGGGTGATACTTACATTGTGCTCCTTTATAAATTCTTCATGCGAGATGAATTACAATGAATTTGCCTTCATTTTAAAGATACAAGTCATATAAATTAAATACATGTTGATTTCGAATGTGATTTGACATTTTTGGTTCTTTTTAGCGCATATTTGGAGTAGAACAATAATGACTGAAAATAATCTATTTTTAGCATTTCACACTGTTTTTGCACGTGCTCCTGTGTAAAAATAAGCGTATAAAGGTATTGTTTTTAATACCTAAAAATTAAGATAAAGTGGTCAGGAAAGAAATGTCAAAGTTTTGAAAATTTCACACAAAGACTTTTCTGACATAGGTCCCCCCTTAATGTGCATGTACTTTTCAGTTATAGTAAGGTTACATGATAATAAAATAAATAAACGTTGATGTACCTACTATTCAAATAGTTACAAGCATCTTGATGAAAAAGACTGGATCAGGGTTACATGTGGCTTACTCCTGTTTTTGGGAGGGGGCCACAGATGGTCAGTATTTGCCCCTCATGATAACTGTGGTAGTACTCTTTTGCAGGGCAAATTAATAACTTTTGGCGAAGTTTTTGTTGATAGATAATTAAATGACATTTAATGTTATAAGACAATTACCAACTTTTACGTCATATTTTGCCAAAATATAGCATTTTGCCCTGCTAAAGAGTTGCACCGCAGTTATCGTGAATGTGTCTATTAGGGCATGGGTAACTATTAAGGTTTCTCTGATTTCTGGTATAGCACTAGCGTTTTGGAAATATTTTATACAGTTTTAATATCTTGTTTACTTCATTGTCATTATATATTTAGTAATCAATGTGTTTGATTTTTTCAGTTACCTGTGTAATTATGCAGAAGAATGGTGCAGGGTTACATACAGCTAGCTCTTGTTTCTGGGACAATGGCACAGATGGTGGGTTTTCAATTTTGTTTTAGACAATGACAGAAATAATTTTTTTTAATTCGTTGTAGACAATGACAGATATTAATTTTTAATGACTACTGACAAATTGTTTTGGTACAGATTAGCTTCAGTGTCTTGATACAATGTATCTGCGGGGCTAGATATCTGGTATATTGAAACATTGTTGAAAATACTAGCAAAACTACTGGTATTTAGGGGGATATACTACACTAAATTGCATATATGAATTATATAATATCTAAAATAATGTTTAATAATTACCGGTATTGCATTTGTAGAATGGCAACCTAAATTTTTGCAAAACATAGAATTTTAACCTGGAAAAAAAGATAACCGTTAATTACTTTAAAAACTTTGATGATTCTTTGTAAGATTTGTATGCACTTAGTCCATTGTGAGGTCTCTGAGTAAGAAAATTTAAAGGAAAAGAAGCCTCGAAACCAATACTGAATGTTTATATAGAGATTGTTTTTTGTTTTGTAGGAAGTTGCACAGTGAGATGGGAGAACAAAACAATGTATTGTATTGTTAGTGTGTTTGGTTTGGCAATCTAAAGAGAAGGAGGGGGTATAACTACTAAAGGGGAAATAACTTTGTGACAAAGACTTGCGACTGTTCAGAGGACTATACAAAAAGTGACAAACTTCCATTTTCATTCCTATGGGTCTTTTAAGATGTAGGCCTGCTTCAACAATTTGCTTCAAGAAGCAATGTAATTCATTTTCTTTGTAAACATGCAAATGATGATAGCTGTGTTTCTTTTGCAATGGCCTTGTGGATTAATTACATTTTAATTTCTAATTTTAATGATTAACAATGCATGTACATGTATATGAAATTGTATACATATAAGCTGCAAGAAATCTGTACATTTACAGGTATTAGAGAATTTTAGTTATATAAGTAGAAACAATTTTCATCCAGTTGTTGAAAATGGCTCTGTGATACACTCATAAGAATTTCAGCTTCTCAAATATTTTTTTTTCTTTTTAAGACTTTTAACATTTAATGAATAAGGTGTAATGTAGCAATTTCTTCAGTCAAGTGAACAAAATAAGGAACAGATTGTCTTGATGTCATGCTTACATTTTTTTTTTTGTTTCAAATTTTAATTCTATTTAATATATATTTATTCCATCATTTGTACATAATGTACTTCTTATAGAACATAATAATAAAATTTTGTGTTCAGCTAAATTTGCTTTTACTTATGTGATGATTTTAAATTAGGGATGGCAGATAATGCTCTTTTATCGTTTGTAAATTCTGTTGAGAAGAGTAAATTTTTTTCATCTCTATTCAACATTTAATGTCTCGGTGTGTCGGATCAGATTCATAAGTGATCCATACATATTGTGTGTTCTAAAATCAATACCTGGGAAGCTTCCTTGTAAAATTGTGAAATTGAATTTCAATCTGCTCAATTATGTTGATAAGAGTTAAAAGGCTGATAAGAGAACAAAAGTTTTTCAAAGTGAAGGACCCACAGTTCTATAGAAGTATACATGATGCTTATTTACTACAATTAAATACAAATTTACTTTTATAAGTCATGAAAAATACAGCACTATTAATAATGATGATTAATGATAAAATACCTAGACCCCTTTTTATGAATAAGAATAGCAAGGTATATTTTCCTTGTAGCCATACAGCGAGGATTTGTGTGTACTACAATGATCAGAAATTGCTTCAGTCTTTGCAGATTAAGGAATGACATTTTAAAATTATTGCTTTATAATCACACTGCTCTTAAATTGCTATTTAACATCTTACAGAAGCAAGATATGAAATACAAAAGGTAACTACTAGATGTCAAATGCAATATGAAAATACCATTTGTCAATCATTTCATCAAAAACAAAAGGTGATACTTAGCCAGAGTAAATCTATTCTTATACATGTATAAATAGCAATTGATCTCCACTGCTACATGGTCAATGAAGTTCATGTCATACTTGAAAGTCAAATTCATATTGCAGGGAAAATGGCTCGGCAAAATTTTGCACTTTTTGAGAGTTCTCTAATTTGTATTAATTATGTCCCCCTTTGAAGAAGAGAGGACATATTGCTTTGCTGCTGTCTGTCTGGCTGTCTGTCCAACAACAGTTTCTGTTCATTTCCTTCGCAAAGGTTGCACTAGCTGTAGAAAATGAAACTGTAGCATTATGGTTTTGTATTTTAGTCTTTGACCATATGACCTTATGGTCAAAAACTAAAATAGAATACCATAAAGCTACAGTTTCTATAGCTAAGGTTGCATTCTGAAATTCCGGTGTCATATAATATATTGAACCCCGCGATAATTTGAACCCTGGTTCAAAATATCGCTGCGAAATATTGAACCCCCCTATAAAATATTGAACCCGGGGTTCAAAATATTATGGCCATAAAATATTGAGTCCCCCTTCCCTTTCAATTTTACAGGGAGGGGGGTTCAAAATATTATGGCCATAAAATATTGAGTCCCCCTTCCCTTTTAATTTTACAGGGAGGGGGGTTCAAAATATTATGGCCATAAAATATTGCCCCCCCCCGTCCTTTTAATTTATGAGGGAGGGGGTTCAAAATATTATGGCCATAAAATATTGACCTCCCCCGTCCTTTTAATTTGTGAGGGAGGGGGGTTCAAAATATTATGGCCATAATATTTTGAACCCCCCTCCCTGTAAAATTAAATATTATGGCCATAAAATATCGCGTCCCCCGCCCTTTTAATTTATGAGGGAGGCTAGGGGGTTCAAAATATTATGGCCATAAAATATTGAGTCCCCCAACCCATTTAATTTTACAGGGAGGGGGGTTCAAAATATTATGGCCATAAAAGATCAAGTCCCCTCCCTCACAAATTAAAAGGACGGGGGGGGGGACTCAATATTTTATTGCCATAATATTTTGAACCCCCTCCCTCATAAATTAAAAGGGCGGGGGACTGGATATTTTATGGCCATAATATTTTGAACCCCCCTCCCTGTAAAATTAAATAAGCAGGGGGACTCAATATTTTATGTCCATAATATTTTGAACCCCTCACCCATAAATTAAAAGGGCGGGGGACTCAATATTTTATGGCCATAATATTTTGAACCCCCCTCCCTGTAAAATTAAATGGGCAGGGGGACTCAATATTTTATGTCCATAATATTTTGAACCCCTCCCCCATAAATTAAAAGGGCGGGGGACTCAATATTTTATGGCCATAATATTTTGAACCCCCTCCCCCATAAATTAAAAGGGTGGGGGACTCAATATTTTATGGCCATAATATTTTGAACCCCCCTCCCTGTAAAATTAAATGGGCAGGGGGACTCAATATTTTATGGCCATAATATTTTGAACCCCTATCTCTTGAATGAAAAAGGTAGGGGTTCAATATTTTATAAGGGGGTTCAATATATCGCAGTGAAAAAGTGAACCCGGGTTCAAAATATTATGCGATATTTTGAACCCGGGTTCAATATATCGCGGTATCAAAATATTATGCTACACCGGCCTGTGTGGGCAATATGCATTTTAGTTATAGTCACACAATACAAAAGAAACTTTAATACATTTATTTTTTGCAAATAGCCTATAACAATAAGCATTAAAACCTAAATATCACATTTGAGTTTATTCCTTCGTCTTTATTTCTTGGACTCTTCACTTTTCTCTGACATTGGTGTAAAATTTTGTGGGGTGGATTCCAGAACTTCTTCATTCTGAATCAAACGTGGATCAACAATGTTATACCTGACAGGTTTTGTTACCTGCTGCGTAGAGTTGTCAGAATTCACAGTAGCATCACTATTAATCATTGTCTGACTTCCAGTCATATCAGTACTGTGATTTTGTTGGAGTACAGAAGACATGGTTGTGCTGGGATAACTTACAGTTGTAGCAGACGGATAATAAGCTGCACACTGAGGTTGCTGGGGCCACTGCTGAAAAGAGGGTACTCCTGGCTGACCATACATATACCCTGGTGGTGGAACATTTGTTGGGACCACGAAGGTCCCCTGTGGGGCAAACTGTGGGGGTGGGTAGAAGGGAATAGTTTGATGTACACTCTGTGTCTGTCCACTCACAGTGCCCGTATTTGGCAGATATAAGCTTGGATTAGTCTGTGGAAGGGGTATATCTTGCACTTGTTCAGGTGGCCACAACTTATCGTCTGTGGTTTTGATTGCATTGTTAGGAGAAACACCTTCTGAGTTCAAACTCATATTTTGTTGGGAATTCAATTTTTCTTGGGACAAAAAGTCTTCAATCTGTTTTTCGGTTATTTTTGTCTTAGAATGCCCTGGGCCTGACACCACAATGTCTGTTTTGAGCCTATTTCCAACAGAATTGTCACTATCTTTATACATTGATGGGGGTGCAAATTCAGCAATTCTTTCACTTCTTCTGTCTTCAAAGTATCTTTGCTCACTTGACATGGGGAATAGTTCTGAAATACAAACAAGGAAATAACGTTACATGTATATTCAACAGAGAAAAATAAAGTATACAAACATAATTCAGCCTCCTTCATATACATACACACAATTTACAGAGTTATGCTCTATATCCAAGTTGTTTCTCTATAAGAAAAGTAAAATGTATCAAGAACCAACTTTTGATTTAACAAAGTAAAGAAAGTTCCACTTAATTATGAGACAGAATTTACACCTTGTCTTCCTTAAGTCCTTTGATAAGTACTACTTTCTGGCCCTGTCACACTTACTTTCCTTGCCTTTATCCCACTCCCTCTGAGTCCCAGCACGTCTGATGTTTTCGTCCCTGGTTGGCAGTTCTGGTTCCTTTTTTACTGAGTCTCTCTCCTCATTTTTGTCTTCAGGTGCTGCTTCACTGAGTTTGGGTCCTATGTCATCTTCATCATTTTCTTTTTCTACAAAATATTTATTTACAACGTATACCTTATTTGTGTGTCAATACTTTGTAAAAAATGACTTTTCCTGAGAGTTTTTTTTCCCTTTATTAATTTATCTGAGTTAATCAACTTTCAATTGATAAAACCCTTTAAATCCTCCAAACATGGTAGAGCAAACTAGAAAACTGACCAGTCAGCAAGGGCCCCGCCATGGGGTAGAATTAATAGGGTGCAGCTTACAGAATGATTAATAAATGTACGAAGAATAAGCAACAGCAACTGTATTCTTAAAATTTCAAGATAATTCCTGAATATTCAAAAACCTGAAAATAATATCCTTGTATTTACATTAGGCAGTAAAGAACAACTTAACATTGAATGTATATATAAACAATTATGAAGCTTGTGTTATATAAAATGCCAGCCTTCAATGAATGCAAATATCATGAAGGCTTGACCTTAACTTCAAACAAACAGCAGTTGCAGACAAAGGTTTTCATTAATCTTAAAGTGACAGATAAAGAAAAGCCTACTAAATTTTCTGCAGCAGGCTAGATAATTAATCCCAAGGGATTAATTGTACCTCTCTCATCATTTTCTTCTAAATTTACAATAAGAACTTTTTCAGTATTAATGATAGAATGGGGTTTTTATACAACTACATTAAAAATTAATAATATTCTTGAATTAATATATTTAAAAAAAAAGTGAAAAAAGTGAAAAAAAGTAAATCAAAAAATCTTCTTTAATCTATTTCTTTTTTTTAGAATTCAATGAAATCATAACTATCAAACAAAAATAAATAATAAAAATTTATATTTAAATCCACATTTCAGAGTGTTCATAGCATTCCAAATTGATTTAACTTCAAAACAAACTTCATTTGCAGACAGAGGTGGTAATTAATCTCAATGTGACAGATAAAGATAATGCTCTGGATTTTCTTCAGGAGGAAAGCTAATTAATCCCAAGGGACTCCTAGCAGCATTCAGTTTACAATGGGAACATCTTCAGCAGTTATCTCTCTTTGCCAATGCATTCTTATAAAAAGTTAAGGAATCTACCCTACCACCCCAGCTCCAAACCATGGGACATAGAGAACCAAACTTAGCATCAAAATATGTATTTCTGCCTACTGAACTACCGTGCCAAATTTGTACTTGATTGGGCAACCATAAAAAAAGTTGCCCGTTCATTCTTATGCATAGTTAAGGAATCTACCCCACCACCCCAGCTCCAAACCATGGGACATAGAGAACCAAACTTAGCATCAAAATATGTACAGTGGACCCTCATTTATCCGGACGCTTTGGTTCCCAGTCAATATGTCCGGATATGTGAAGCATCCGGATATCTGAATCACCACTTAAATAAGACAAAATAACATTTAAAAATTTCGTTCCGTTGAAAGATCGTCTGGATACTGAAGCATCCGGATATCTGAGGGTCCACTGTATTTCTGCCTACTGAACTACCATACCAAATTTGAACTTGATTGGGCAACCATAAAAAAAAGTTATTAGAAAAAAACAGAAAATTTGAGGACGGAAGAGTGACAGATGGACAGGCAGACAGCTAGACAGACAGACGGACAGACAGAGTGATTACTATAGGGCACCCGCAAATCCTTGCGGGGCCCTAATTATCATGGAACAGTAACATGCTTGTTCATGTACAAATACAGGTTCATATACATATAATTTCAGTCATCACAGGTTATCTGTATTTAGTGTACCGGGTATAAGAAAGTCATGTATTTTCCGTATTTTTGAAAGAATTTAAACAAACATCCAATAAATATTGCATCCAGTAATATACATGCATATATCCTATGAACCAGTTATTACAACAAAGCTTTGACTTGTACCTCCAGGAAGCTCTGTAATGCCTTCCCTTTTCATTTTCCTCTGTTTGACTTTGGCCAGTCTGGCTTCCATAATGGCTTTTCTTTTTTCCTTGACTTTTTCTTTACGATCCCTCTCATCTTTAGTCTAAGAACAAGAGGCCCATGGGCCACATCGCTCACCTGAGCACTAAGGCTAGGAAAAGGTAGAAAAAGGTTTTTATTGTAAAGTTTAAATCCAAAAGAAGTCCCATGACCAATCATGGATTTGCTATTTTTTAGAAAATGATTTTTAAAGAATTTTCCTATATATTTCTATGTAAAACTTTGGTTGGCCATTTTGGCCCCGCCCTACCCCGGGGGAGGGGGGGGGTCATGATTTGAACAAACTTGAATCTACACTACCTGAGCATGCTTCCATTTAAATATGATGAATTATAGCTTTGTCATTCTTGAGAAGAAGATTTATAATGCATTTTCCTATATATTTCTATATAAAACTTTGGTCGGCCATTTTGGCCCCGCCCTACCCCCAGGGGTCATGATTTGAACAAACTTGAATTTACACTACCTGAGCATGCTTCCATATGAATATGATGAATTATGGCTTTGTCATTCCTGAGAAGATTTTAAAAGAATTTTCCTATATATTTCTATGTAAAACTTTGGTCGGTCATTTTGGCCCCGCCCTACCCCTGGGGGTCATGATTTGAACAAATTTGAATCTACACTACCTGAGCATGCTTCCATATAAATATGATGAATTATGGCTTTGTCATTCTTGAGAAGAAGATTTTTAAAGAATTTTCCTATATATTTCTATGTAAAACTTTGGTCGGCCATTTTGGCCCTGCCCTGACCCCGGGGGTCATGATTTGAACAAACTTGAATCTACACTACCTGAGCATGCTTCCATTTAAATATGATGAATTATGGCTTTGTCATTCTTGAGAAGAAGATTTTTAAAGAATTTTACTATATATTTCTATGTAAAACTTTGGTCGGCCATTTTGGCCCCGCCCTACCCCTGGGGGTCATGATTTGAACAAATTTGAATCTACACTACCTGAGCATGCTTCCATATAAACATGATGAATTATGGCTTTGTCATTCTTGAGAATAAGATTTTTAAAGAATTTTCCTATATATTTCTATGTAAAAGTTTGATCGGCCATTTTGGCCCCGCCCTACCCCAGGGGGTCATGATTTGAACAAACTTGAATGTACACTACCTGAGCATGCTTCCATATAAATATGATGAATTATGGCGGGTACCTGTAAAGTGCGAAACGAAATAGAAACGAAACGAAACGAACTGAAACGAAACGAAATCTGCCGAAACGAAACGAAATCTACCGAAACGAAACGAAACCTACCGAAACGAAACAAAATCAAAACGAAACCTGCCGAAACGAAACGAAACAACACTATCAAAATGTTTTTTTTAATCAAGGTACATGTATATAATTATAAATGTGTAACTACATGTGGACTTTTTTTTTTACTTCAAATAAAATTCATATACTTCAAGCACTTGTTAATATAAAATTTAATTACCGATAAATTATGCTCCCTTCTCAGTCTAATGATGCATTTACGTGTTTGCAAGCTGCAAATATGCACGAGCGTACTACGCATGTATAGTTTCAATATGTGCATTATTTTCTAATTTTTATATCTTAGTCTTATTTTCAGTCCTTATTTATCTAGATTCAACATATCTATCAAAATTGATGTGTTACATGTAAAGGCTCGTTTATGTACGGGTCGAAATAAAGTCACTGTACTGTTGTATTGCAAATGTCTTAAAACATAGGATAAACCAGAGACTTAGAGTATTTAGTATTCCATTCCAAGGTGTCTGGGTTTTTTTTGTTCTATTATACATGTAACTCCAACCGAAATCTTGTGTATCCTTTCTACGTACATACGGTCCTATTTTTATCGAGGTAATTTTGGAGGAAGAAAGGAGTGGTCTGCAATAAAGAGGCTTGACCATAGACGTTTTAAACTATTTAACTGACAAGTAAAAAGTCTCTCGAAGCAAACGATGTCATTTTTAAGTAGGTAAATTATTCAGTAAGATATTAAAAAATATTACATAGGTGTCGGAAGTGGCGGGGAGGAGGGGTTAGCCTCCATCCCCACTTTCTTGCAAAGATATATATTACATAGGCATTGAAAACTGGAGTTTACCTTTTTGTTGGTTAAGCCTCCCCCCCCCCCCCCCACAACTTTCAATTTCCTTCCGACGCCTATGTAGGAACTTGAAGCGAAACAATTGCCTGTGGTGCTTGAACTATATAAATTTCATATGAAGTAAAAAATACACCATATAAACATTCTAAAAGTTTTGTTTCGTTTCGTTTCGGCAGGTTTCGTTTTGATTTCGTTTCGTTTCGTTTCGGTAGATTTCGTTTCGTTTCGGCAGATTTCGTTTCGTTTCAGTTCGTTTCGTTTCGTTTTTATTTCGTTTCGCACTTTACAGGTACCCGAATTATGGCTTTGTCATTCTTGAGAAGAAGATTTTTAAAGAATTTTCCTATATATTTCTATGTAAAACTTTGGTCAGCCATTTTGGCCCCGCCCTACCCCTGGGGGTCATGATTTGAACAAACTTGAATCTACACTACCTGAGGATGTTTCTCCATAAGTTTCATCTTTCCTGGCACAGTGGTTCTTGAGAAGAAGATTTTTAAAATATGCCACCAAATTTTCATTTATTCCCAATTATCTCCCCTTGAATGAGGGCGTGGCCCTTCATTTGAACAAACTTGAATCCCCTTCACCCAAGGATGCTTTGTGGCAAGTTTGGTTGAAATTGGCCCAGCGGTTCTTGAGAAGAAGTCGAAAATGTGAATAGTTTACAGACAGACAGACAGACAGATGGACAGCTAGACGGACGCCGGACAAAATGTGATCAGAAAAGCTCACTTGAGCTTTCAGCTCAGGTGAGCTAAAAAAAAGGGAATAAAGTACAAATGTTACAGATCATAAGTATCTTGTCTTAGGAAACAGAATCAGGAAAGATTCACTTAATTTATTTTTTGCAAAAAGGGGCTTAGTCCGACCCAGGGTTCAGGGGTCATGGATTACCAACCTTTTCCCTCATATCTTTGAGTGTGTCCAGCTGTTCCTTTCTTGACTCCTCATCTTTGGCAAACTGATAAAACCCAACACCATGGCTTCTGATTTCTGTAACAAGATTTCAAAGTTTGTAATGGGACAGTGTCTCAAAATGTTTTTTTTTTTAATGCATGTCTTTCAAAAGATTTGATATTCGTCCTTGTAAGGTATTTTATAAAATAGTAACAGTTACACAATTAAGATTTTTGAAAAATGCAAAATTTTATGCAGAAGACACTCTTTTGAAAATGATAAAGTTTTAACATTCTAATGAAATAAAAAAATTCTAAACCCCCCTCCCCAAATATGAGTTGACCATGAGAATTAAGTGCATGCATCATCCTCATATTGTCAAATAAACCAGCTGGGGTATATTATATATTTATATGGTTGTTGTACGTATATTGTCTCACCATCATACTGGACATTAGAGTAGTGGATTGGCTGATTCATGGCCGCTAACTCTTCCTCCTCCCATTTCTGTCGAAGCATTTCTTTGTACATATCATTGGACACCATCTCAGCTGTTCTGTTGTCAACCTTCACACTGCAAACACATAATCACACCTTACCTTAAAATTCAGATTGGCTTTTGTCTTCATCTTGAAATTTAAGCAGCTCTTAAAACATGATATATTTTATCATACATGAATATCCAAACTTATTTCAATTTATAATTATGTCAATGCACTCTCAACTAATGAAAATTTGTTGTTCATAAACAAGCACCTGTTGTTTCTATGGATGTTTTTGTCCTGCTGCATCAGTTCTGGGAGATCCTTCTTCATGCAGCGACGGGATCTTCCAAACCCATCAACATAATCCACCCTGAACGTAAATCATAGATAAACAAGATGTGTTTGTGAAACACTATGCGCTCGGCGGCAACAAAGTGCGAAAAAACTATTTTTAGATTACAGTCAAGGTCACAAGGTCATTGACCTTGGTGTCCTTTGAAAGCACTTAATTAGTGAAGTATGCACACCAAATATAAAGTCTCTACCTCCAATGGTTTAAAAGTTATAGCGAAAGTTCGAAAAATCTATTTTTAGCATATAAGTCTCAGTTGAGGTCACAAGGTCATTGTCCTTGGTGTCAGTTGTAAGTGTTTAATTAGTGGAATATGCATTACACATATGAAGTCTCTATCTCTCACGGTTCAAAAGTTATGGCGAAAGTTCGAAATAGCTATTTTTAGCATAAAGGTCAAGGTGAAAAGGTCGTTGACCTTGGTGTCAGTTGAAAGTGCTAATTTAGTGGAGTATGCATACCAGATATGAAGTCTCCATCTCTCACGGTTCAGAAGTTATGGCGAAGGTTTAAGTTGACAACAGACAGACAAACAGACAAACAGATAAACAGACAGACAGGACAAAAACAATATGCATCCCGAAAAAATTCGGGCACATAATAAAAGATTTAAACTGTCAAATATAACCTTTATAAAATATTTTCAAAGCAAGACTTCAGAAATTTGTTCTAATTCCATAAAATACATGGTTATGAATTTTTGGTCTTCAGAAATAAAATTCATGAAAATAGAAAATAAATTAAAAATTACTTAGTACTTTATTCTGATCTGATATTCAGAGAGTACATAAATCTGTCAATATGCTCAATTTAATATATCAAAAGATGAAATCACAATGTACCATTCCTCGCCTTCATTGGCTGGTGGAGGAACTACGGCGTGTTTCAGAAGTTCTTCCTCTTGTCGCTCTCTCTCTTCCTCCTCTTCCTTCCTCCTCTTGTCTCTGTCTTCCACAATCCTATCAATGGCTTTCTTCTGGAAGTCCACCAAGTAAACCTGACTCCCATCCTCCTCTGTATATATCCAACAAAAATGGAATTAATTTTCATGATAAAATTTATACAATGTCAATGATTTTAATATTTTCTATGTACAACTCTGGATAACATGTATAAATATATGTACATGTATATGCAAGTACATTAATGATAATGCTTATGGTTCCATTTACCTGGAATGTCACTTCCCTGGGTTATCTTCTCATACAACTTGGCCTTGGCTTCTAAACATTTTCTACAAGAATAAATATTTAATAAGAATACAGGCTCTTGGCTGATTAAGCACTAGTGTCACAGAAATTAACCCCAACCAAAAATATCGTGGTCTTGCGTTCCCCATCTTCCATGCAGAGTTGTTAGTTCATCCCTCAGACAACTCTGCAAGGCTTGCATCAAAATTTTGTGATATAAAATGAAACATATGATATTCCAAGGATCGATGTGCCCAGTAAGATAAACTAATAATTCTAGACTTACTCAGTAAATATCTTTACAAAAGAGAAAACATTAAAGCAAATTTTTCATTAAATGAGTCAAAACAAATGCACTGCTTCAACTTCCTTATCACTTTGATATATGTAAGCCAGTGACAGATATAGGTGAATCATTAAGCTGATAGTAGAGGTTGTTAGGTGCATTAGCATAGAATTTTCAATATTAGCAAGTCATGTGCCACTAACACAACAAATATAAACAAATTACAATGCTTGAACATGTGGAAAAATACAAACCAAGTCATATAAAGTAATGGAGAATAACCTTGACATTAACTGGCTCTAACCTTGACTTCTCATACTGATTTGCCTCTTCTATTTTCTCTTCTAAATCTTTGCTATTTCTTTCTAATACACCTTTGTTCTTTTTGCTCCATATTGTTGGTTTCTGTGAAGAAGTTAAAATATAAATTATGTTACATACAGGTTAAGTGTCACAAAAATGAAATTCATATATTTATAATATAAATTTGCAGTATGTAAGCTAATAGAAAGGTGCATAATCAAAGAATGAGTCCTGCACTCCTGCATGTTTTCTTATCAGGGAATGTTGCTATTATAATCTGCATGGGCATACTAAGTATTTCAGTTTCTCTAACGCCAAAGTTTTTATTTTTTTTGGTTTACGATTTTTTGACACAAAAATATGCGTTGGGCGGTCGAAAAATAAAAATAAAAATAATTTGGAACCTTGACATATTTTTTTCTCCAGTAGCATTGAAATGTATTCAAATGCCTTGTTACTGTTGATGGTTTTCATTCTTCTGACTTACAAGTCCGAGTTTCCATAATAGACACATTGCACGGGTAAAATTAAGTGAATCTGCTATTCTCTGGTCAACCTTTCCACGTATGAGAAAAGTTTTTGGAAACTCTGAAAGTCATGGACTGCTTTCACAACAAACTTTTACCTTAAGATACGTGTGTCCAGGGACCAATTAACCCAGACCCAAAATGTAAGGAGACATTTCTCCATCAAAGAATTTAGGGAGAAGTTTTGAAATTTAGGGAGACTTCTTGGCGCGTATGTGGCACACATTAATCGTTATAAAACTATTTCATTGTTTCAGGGACCTATATACTAAGTATGTAGGTAAACTTAGTATATAGGTCCCTGATTGTTTATAAATTACAAACATTTCTTTTATAATTTTTCTGTATAAACATTGTATTTAAAAATGAATAAGAGAAAAAGAATCTTAATAGAAATCCCCCCCCCAATTACAAGGTATATAGTATTCTAGAAAATATTAATAAAACAACATTGACATTAAATAAAATTTACTACTACGTGTACCACAATTAAAATGTAAAAGTTTCTTATCAGATTAATTGTTTATCAAACTTTCTTTTTTTCATTTCTTACATAGTAGCACAACCTTAAACTTCTAAAATTTCTCTTCTCATTATATTTCCAGACTTTTGGCATAGTCATAATTTTGTTAATTTCTCTTCAAACTTTGTTTTCAATATAAAATTCATTTTCTAATAAAAGTTCATCTGCATACCGATTGAACTACACTTGACTTATGTTTATCGGATCGGATGTGTGACTTCTTAAGAAGTTAATAACTTCACAATTTAACAGTAAAAATATGTCTGTATTCACAGCATGAATTAATTATCTGACAATAAAAAGATCTAAAATCTTCTCCAACATCTTTGGCATGACATCGATAGCTGTCCAGCTGTTTTGCGTCTTGTGTATAACTTGTAACGATGGACTTTTTCATACCCGGAAGTGTAAAATCTAGAGGAGTTCCGACGGCATATTCGATGCATTGGTCATTAGTACAGAAACAGTCTGTAAGCGAGTCACCCCCGAGGTTGGTCCTTGCGCTATCTCGCCATGTGGTTTGACAATCTGTATTTGTGGAGGTCATTTGAATGTTTAAGATGTGTTGTAAATTATAAAAACTATCGTTTGGTCGAGAAAATTTCTGATTAAGAGTCCAGTTTCTAGAGTCAGACACATTATTTTTATTTTTGTAAATAGGGAAAAATAGGGTCGGCGGAATCGTAAACCAAGAGAAAAAAAAACTTTGGCCTAAGTAGGTAAAATGTTCAAAATCATGTATGATCAATAATAACTTTTCCAACATTTGTAACATGTGTAATTTTATTGCAAATTAGAAGCTAGATCCTAAATCAACCAAGTAATTCAATTTCGGAATGATGAGAGTTGTTTTACAGACAGCTTACACCTTTCCTATACTTTCCTACCCTAGTATCACATAATAAAAATATTTTAACATGTTATTCCTAGCTTATGATAAAGGGACAGAGATACTTACTTTTTCTACAGTTTTTCCCTTGATGGTGGTGGCATTTTTATTCTGTAGCTGCTGCTTTTTGAATTCCTCCTGTTTTCTGAATAATTCAGCTTTTAGGTCGATGATCTGTCAAAAACAAGAACTTATTGTTATATCATCCATCTTACAAGTAGCATAAAACATTCAAAAAGACATGTCTTTGGTGATTATGAAAGGACTGAGTCAATCAGCATCCATTTACTGATGAGCTCTGCCACTTTACTTTGGTCGAGATTTGAGACAGATTTATCAATGTTAATTTTAAGTTAGTGAAAATATTAACAGTACATTAAGTACATTAAGTGTGAAATTTAAGTTTCTTAAGCAGTCACAATTGTATCAAACACTGATGATGACAAGATTCAGATCAGTGACTAACTGAGAAAACACTCTTGGATGACTCAGTATTTGTACATTCAAAACACATATTTGGTTCATTACATAAAAAATAAATGGACAAACTTTGCTAAATGTCAGTGAAACAGCCTGAAAGGATTCGAAAATGGTGACTTCAATGTATTCTTCGAAATCATTTAGGAGCTGAGCAGATCTGCTCCGATTTACAATAATATGGGGCGTATTCATACTGTGGGGAAGGCTTGACCTAAGACACAGATTATATTAAATAAAGTAGGTGCTTCAGGCATAATGAATATAAGATTCATCATTGATTGAAGATCAATAATGTACAAATCAGGAGTACTCCGAGAGTCAAGAAGACACTCTTAGAATGTGGACATTAGATTCATGTCTCCACAAGGAAGAAAACAGGATATGATCATGATCCACATTCAATTTAAAACATTGTCAGGATAAAGTTTTTCACATAACTACTATTTATGGTCTGAAGCATTTGTCACTTTGAGCTAAACAGGCTAAGTTGCAACTTTCTAAAATAAGCATTTCTCTATGAATGACAGGTGTACATTTTAGGTGTGCGAATGACAGATAGCTGTAAACTTTAAATTCAGAATTGTCTTTAATTATTCGACTAGACAAAACAGTCGATATTTCAGTTCTTAGCAACTTACAGATGATGAATTGAAATCTCTTTTCCCTTCCATTTTCAAACGCATAAGTGATGAAGACAATTTGGCAGCGTTCAAGAAAGATAATTCATACTTTGTTCAGTTTTAAAATCGCAAATTAAATTTTATCCAGACGTCATATATTTCCTGTAATTAATTATGCTTTCTTTTTTCTTTAACCTTATCATTAAACCGACTAAAATTAGTTAAATTTATTTGAAGCTCATTTTCAGTTGTATAAACGATATAGCCTAAGCGGCTTTCATAAAGCGTGTGAATGACATTGACGAGGTTGTTGAAGAAGGGAAAGCTGGAAGCAGGTAAGCAAAAACCTTGCCTTGCCATTTACTTATATATCAGAAACGTAGAGTATATTTATCTTATGTAACATATCAAAAAAAGATTATTTTCCATAATATGACTGTAAAGTTCTCATTTGATTTGTAGACAACTTTCCCCCAGTATCTCAAGGACAGACAGAATGCAGTGAAAGAATATTCAGTTCTAGTTGAGTGGGAATGTGAGATTACGGTTCAATACCTTACTCTGACTTTCCAATCACTTGCCTCTGCTACTGGAGTTGGAGAACGGATTTTTAAGAAGCTTGTTAAGCAAAGAACCGTTTTGTGGTAAGAATTCATGTATGAAACAATGTATACATTTCTTAGCAATGGGAAAATTGCATCTGGATTAACTGTGAAGTCTTTAGCACACTTATTCAATTTCAGTCCCGGTTTAAAAAGGTCATGGGTTCTAACTTTGGCAGCGACTGACCAAAGTAAAAAAAAAATATGTACTAAATGTTCTGCCAGGTGCTCAGCAGTTTGAAGTGAAAGTTGCGGATCATTCGTATGAGACCTTCAAAACTGTGGCCCACTGTCATGACAGGGATTGGCACAATAATAAACCCTCACTGTACAATGCCTCTGGGTACTCAATAAGGGTCTAATTTTAAGCCCCTCACCAGAATATGTTGTCCCCATATGAGTGAAAAATTCTGGAATGGGACATAAAACAACATACAATCAATTCATTTCAGTCACTACTCGTAAAGATAAATGATTAGGTTTTAAGTTTACTATATATTCAAAGATTGATCTTTGGAACGATTAAGATACCTATTCCAGGGCCTGCGCCACGTGCCACAGTCGCATTGAAGTGGAAAATGGTGCATTAAATCAATCAATGTTGGTGCCAAGGTGCACATTCAATTTTTAACGACAAATCTCATTGGTGGAAGCCCTTCAAAAACTGCTTCTGGTTTAACGAAGCACTTAGATTTGGTACATTACAACGGGTCCCCATTACAACATTAATTTGTAGGGCAAGGTGGTGCTTAGTCCAAATTTTGACATGATTTAACACAAAATATGGATAAATTATGTTCTGTGCGGGTTCCTTTAAATTTGCTGCATTGAAAGTTAGATTCGATTAATTAAAAACGTGTTTTCTTTCTCATTTCATATTTGCTTGTCATTTTGTTTTTTCTTAAAATGGCCCCTCAAATTATTTTGATGGCCTCTTTATTTTCAAAATGGCGCATTAAAAATGTTGACAGTTACGCCATAGTCCCATTGACCTTTTTGGCCTTCCCAATCACTGCTATTCATTTATTTAAAATTGAGTTACACCTAATTTTTCTTACTGCAAAAGACATACTAATCATGTTTAATTGAGCATTATTATACAGTAATACATGTATATACATATTAGATGCATAACCATGTAACAAAGTTACCTGGAAAAGGCAAATTTTAATGAAGAATGTTAATCTACTTTTTACCTGCAATATAATCTAAATCAAGGCATTCAGTTTATTACAAGTCCATAGGCAACTGTGGAAAAAAATCAGTGGATCAATGTGCCAAGTCTGAATTTTCTCTTTGCCCATGTGTTAGTCTAAGAGCTTGCTGTGTCAGGTGGCACTGCTCACTGCACTTTGTGCTGCTAGTTTCACTTATTATTAAAACAGCATAAGGTATTATCAAGTGTTGCACTCAGAGGGGAATATGATGTCTTCTTCCAAATGAAGTTAAAAAAAATATTTAAGGCATATACATGTACCTTTAGGTTTTTCAAGACATGCATTTTGATAGATGTGTTATTATTGAAATGGCACTCTTCATCTGTCTGTCTCCATCTGAATAGTTCTGAACTCTGCACTTTGTCGTCACTTTGAGGTAGGAACTTAAGACTGAATTTCTTCATTGATAAAATATACAGGCCATGAATCCCTCTGTGAATAAGCTGCCAGACGGGTCACAAATTATTGGCACCACCACAACAGTTCAGCCGATTGCCATTCAGCAGCCCATAGGAGTCCGGCAGCAGATCCCAGCAACGATCCCGGGAACTCCCACACAGGCTGAGACTAAGGTACTGGACAAGAGACGTCTACAAGAGCTGGTCAAGGAGATAGATCCCATGGAACAGCTGGACGATGATGTGGAAGAGGTAACCTTAAACTTGTAAATACATATGTGTCTCTTAATTTGACAGTTGGTAGGGTAAGGGGAGGCTAAATATTGCTTGATCTGCCATCTTACAATCACTTGTTTGATGTTTTGAAATTTATTTTTATATATATGTGAGTCATTTTAATTAAGAGTACATTTTCTTTGGAATGACTTCCAGGCCTTGTTGAATATTGCTGACGACTTTATAGACAGCATTGTGACTTCTGCCTGTCAAATAGCCAAGCACAGGAAGTCCAGTACACTAGACGTCAAAGATGTTCAACTACATTTAGGTATTGAACACTAACATGTATATTTCATACATGTATATGTATTTATGTGATCTATAAATGACAAATTATTGATTTCCATGCAAGGTCAGGATAATTTTGAATGAAATTTTAATAAAGTATTATAATTTATCATGTTTATAGTAGTCAAATGATGTCCTTTGTAAATTCCCAATAAAAAGTACTACATGAAGTGACATAATTTCATTAATTCATATGTAATCTTTTTCAAATATAGACTTGGCTTTTGTGCTTTAATTGATATACAGGATTTAATAGCAGGGAATTTATTTAAAAAAAAAAAAGACCCTTTGATTAACTTTTATCTAATTGAAATAATTTGTATTTTCTTACAGAACGTAACTGGAATATGTGGATTCCTGGATTTGGATTGGATGATCTGAAGCCGTATAAAAAGTCTGCAGCCACCGAGGCTCATAAACAGGTCAGGCATGAAATGTGTTACGCACCGATCAGTATATCTTGTCTTTATGTTCATCATGTAGTATTTTTATGTTGCAAGATATACTGGACATGAATAATTTATTTGCCCCCTAGATTGTCAATGTTTAATCAGAATAATGTGAGAATTTTCCATTGATGCAAAGTCTCACCAGATACAAGAAAGTCTCAAATAATTTCATGAATAAATCTTTGACATAAAGTAAAGTATGACTGTCCCATATCTTTACAATCCACATTCATGTACATGAATATAGATTTTTTTAGATAAATAATAATGTCCTTAACACTCAGTCCCTTCTTTCTTTTTTCAGAGGATGGCACTTATCCGAAAAACTCTCAAGAAATATTGAGTTCAAACAGTAAAACTTATTTTCACTGGATAGTTGTTTGATGTGGAAGTGAAGACTTGTGATATTTTGAAAGTGAAAGAAGACAAATGCTGGAACATTGACTTACAAATTCATTTTTGAACATCAAAATCTTCATTCATTCTTTTCACTATGATGGAATCAGTTTCAAGTTCCTGTATAATATTGTTTGTGTCAGTTTTTGAGTCATTTTACCAAAATTTATCATTTTCATCATGTTTTGAGATTTGAAATAAATGTGACATTAATTATGAAGCTTGTTCTTGTAATACATATCTAGAGATACCATCTCTTTAAAAAATTATTTGAGTCTTAATTTTACTGCCTTTGATCACAAGTATTTTGAAACATACTTAATCCACTGACAACAATTTTTACTCAAGCCCTAGAGGGGCTTGAGTTATCTAAAACGATGCTAGGTCATCGATTTACTCAGTTTAAAAACACAAAAATATATTATTTTTGTAGATAAAAAGATTTCTAGAAACAAAAATGAAGCTTATCTTGAAAACATCTGTATATTCAAAGATATTAAGTGTTAAATATTGGATTCTATTTTACGGCGAATGAACAATGAGTGAAGCTCCGCAGCCGCAACAGTTTCTATACAGAGATTTCGCGCTTTCCTTTGCGTAGGAATCTCAGGTAACTTTTTACAGTCGCCGACAAAGCATCCTTGGACGAGTCCACTGCAGACTCTGAAAGGTGACGCAGGTTACCCTATCGTTAACAAATTCTACAATGCATGGCCAGAAAATGTATGGCTGTACCCCCCAACTGAAATTGCTATTCACGGGCCTGCAAATGATGACAGTAAAATAATAGCACAAAATCACTGTTATTTTAAACTTTGGTAACGGAACCTATATTAGTTATAATTAAATTCTTTTGGATTAGTACGGAAAATGTACTGGACATGTCCCTCAGCTAGATAAACCTCCTCGTCTCAAGACACGGTCTGGAGTAGGAGAGTATCGTATATTTTGGCAGTGGTTTGCAACGATGGATGAACCCGTAGCAAGCTATTTAGATTGATGTATATATTGAATGTGATGTACGTCATTAATCAAAAAATACAAAAAAACGTATATTGATTGAAGTATACTAAATGTCAAAATTATGATTAAAAAATATTTCATTAAATTAAGAAACGGCAACGTTAGTATGCTCTGTAAAATACTCCTGAAAGTGTGTCACGTAAATTCATCTTAAAAAGTAGTACGATTACTTATATTTCTTTTAATTAAATTCAATATATGAATTTTGTTTCATGTACATATACTTTAATCAACAGAAAATTGAATCTTATACCATTTTAGGATATTACTGACACTTCCCAACTGACTTTCTACAGCTTGAGTATTTCTGACTTTTTGTCAGTATATACTTGTGAAATCTGCCTCTGTAATCCAGATTAAGGCTTGACTGACAAGTGACCCAAAAAGTTGTAACAATCCTGTTTATTTAACAAAGTATATTGAATGTAACAGTGTTATTTTCACAATGCACAAAAAGGATGTGGTTTATATTGATTATGCTTTCAAAAACAAACATTTGTGTACATTTTACAAAATATCTGCAAAAGATCGGTATGAATTTTTTCTTCATCAAGAAGATTTTGGATTTTTATCCAATAGAAATGCTTGAAGTTAATTAAAATACACATGATGCAAAAATCATTGCTATCCCGATTGTTCCTTGTCAGGATATCCACATCACAAAAGTTAATAAATGCAGATGTTAACTGTACATGCTAGCTGAGGCCTCTAGCATTGCATACAGAATGTTCTAGGTATTTTAAAGAACATTCTAGAATGGCTCAGGATTCTGTGGCCTGTTTCAGCATGGGTTGAGTCACAGGCCAGGTGTCAGGGTTACATTGCTTGGCCTTAATTTCAGCCTCTGTCGGTTGAAAAGGAACATGGATTGGCATCTGCTGACCAGTTACGTTGAGGAGTTTTAGCTCCAGTTTACCAAGTTTCAAATAATCCTTCAAAAAATAAACAAGAGGAAGACTTCAGTCACAAAATCATTTGATTATATTAATGTCATTGTTTCTAACAGAAACTTGCATGACAAATATGTTGTAAAATGGAAAATATACACTTAATAATGACAATCTAGGGCAATGCATGTATTCCATTCCACTAACAATCATTATGAGTTAGGTGCAATGACTGAGATAGCCATAACTCCGTCCAGTAGATTACTTACATTCCAATCCTCCTCTTCAAAATACATGTTGTCCAGTAGTTCTGTATCATCACTCACTGCAAAAAAAAATATACCAAGGATATATTGTCTTACATATAATTGAAATAAAAATCAAATATGATAAACTTAAGGTCATACATGTAATAGTGTTTACACTCCTCCGTCCAATCCCCTTCTCCTTTCCTCTGCTGTCCTATAAATACTTCCTTTAAGATCTTTATACCATTCCCTCCCTTTCCATCTTCATTTTCCTTCAAATACCCTAAATCGAGCTTCGCTTAAACCCTTCCCATTTGCTCCCACCACATTTGCTTCCCTTTTACTCTCTCTCCCCATTTGCACCCACTACAGTTGTTTCTATTTTACTCTCTCTCCCCATTTGCTTCCACAACAGTTGCTTCAAGGATATATTCTCATCTGCTCCCACTACAGTTGTTTCTATTTTACTCTCTCTCCCCATTTGCTCCCACTACAGTTACTTCCCTTTTACTCTCTCTCCCCATTTGCTCCCACTACAGTTGTTTCTATTTTACTCTCTCTTCCCATTTGCTTCCACAACAGTTGTTTCTATTTTACTCTCTCTCCCCATTTGCTTCCACAACAGTTGCTTCCCTTTTACTCTCTCTCCCCATTTGCTCCCACTACAGTTGTTTCTATTTTACTCTCTCTCCCCATTTGCTCCCACCACATTTGCTTCCCTTTTACTCTCTCTCCCCATTTGCTTCCACTACAGTTGTTTCTATTTTACTCTCTCTCCCCATTTGCTTCCACTACAGTTGTTTCTATTTTACTCTCTCTCCCCATTTGCTCCCACTACAGTTGCTTCCCTTTTACTCTCTCTCCCCATTTGCTCCCACTACAGTTGTTTCCCTTTTACTCTCTCTCCCCATTTGCTCCCACTACAGTTGCTTCCCTTTTACTCTCTCTCCCCATTTGCTCCCACTACAGTTGTTTCCCTTTTACTCTCTCTCCCCATTTGCTCCCACTACAGTTGTGCTTCCCTTTTACTCTCTCTCCCCATTTGCTCCCACTACAGTTGCTTCCCTTTTACTCTCTTTCCCCATTTTCTCACACAACAGTTGCTTCCCTTTTACTCTCTCTCCCCATCTGCTCCCACTACAGTTGCTTCCCTTTTACTCTCTCTACCCATTTGCTCCCACTACAGTTGTTTCCCACTCTCTCTTCATTTGTGACAGACAGTTGACTCTCTCTCCCCATTTGCTCCCACTACAGTTGATTTCCCGGAAAACTCTCTCTCCCCATTTGCTCCCACTACAGTTGCTTCCCTTTTACTCTCTCTTCCCATTTGCTCCCACTACAGTTGCTTCCCTTTTACTCTCTCTCCCCATTTGCTCCCACTACAGTTGCTTCCCCACCTCTCCATCACCTTTGCTCCCACTACATTTGCTTCTCTCTCTCCCTATTTGCTCCCACTACCTCCCTTTTACTCTCTCTCCATTTGCTCCCTACAGGCTTTACTCTCTCTATTTGCTCCCACCAGTTGCTTCCCTGTCTCTCTCTTCCCATTTGCTCCCACTACAGTTGCATTCTCTCTCTGGCCATTTGCTCCCAGACAGTTGCTTCCCTACTCTCTCTCCACTGCCCTCTGTGTGGCACTTTTGGGTCTCACTAAAAGGAAACACAGATTTGGTATTAAATAAATAAATAATTATATACAATGTATGTACATGCAACAGGCATTTTAAGGAAAATATATCATCCATAAAGCACTAATTTTAAGCATATTGCTATTGTTGGTGTCTACTAAATTTGATGTTTCTATGCAACCATGCTGACATTTTTCAGGAGGCAGGCAAAAAATGCAGCTTAAATAAACTGATTAAATCATATTTTTTGTTATATCCTAATGACCTATGCAAACTTGGTTTATTTTAAGATACTGTTTCCCTTACCAACAGGTTTATAGACAGCCCCATCTCCATCCCCGCTGTCATACAGTTCCATCTGTTTGGAGGCGGGCCCATTATTGATTGACAGATTTGCAAGGTCCATCTCCAAAACCCCTGTCTCTTCCAAATTCTCATTCTGTGTGGCACTTTTGGGTCTTAAAAAGAATTTCCTACAAATAAATAAAAATTATATAAAATTCTGCAACAGCATTTTAGGAAAATATATTATCCATAAAGCACTAATTTTAACTTGCTATTGTTGGTGTCTACCCCTTTGATGTTTCTATGCACCATCATTTTATTTCAGGAGGCTGCAAAAATTTCTTATGTAAATGATTAATCATATTTTTTTAATATCCTAATGGTCATGCAAATTTTATTTTGACTTTCAAATCTAACAGCATACACCGCTGTTGCATCATCTGTTGAGTGCTAATTCTGTTACATTTGCCAGGAATCTCCAGAAGTCTCTTTGATGATTCTGAACTGAGTTAAAAAGAATTTCCTACAAAGAATACAATAATTCTGCTTCAGTTCGTAGTAATTATTATTCAGTCTAACTTGTCACAGCTGCAACTGGGAGACTGAAAATGTGACCTTGAGGACAATATTACCTTGAGATCTTTAAATCCTCTATTTTACATTCAAATAAGTCAGCCATGATTTCTAGATTCCCTTTCTCCAGATCCTCCACTTTTTCCCTAAGAACAGAGGTGTCCTGTCTGTGTATGTTTACCTACAAGTGATTTATTATGACTTAATAATAAAACTGTTGTGTTTTCTATTAGCATTATATTCAACTAACATAGAATTAATCCATTTTACTGTTTTTGATGTATAAAAAAGGGACTGAAATTCAAAATGTAGATGAGTATTTGAAATCTAGGTTCTATATCTGAACTAGTTTCTGACATTTACTACTACTTTTACACTGCTGCTCTCTCAGTTTTGTTCTCAAAACCTTTCCCACTCACCTCCCTTGTCAGCCATTCATTATCCAATACTTCTCGTTGACTGTATTTGTCAAGTTTTGATATGGCTTTCTAAAATATTACAAAATACATATAAAAATGAATTAACACATACATTGTGCAAGATCTATTCAAAGGAACAAAACAATTTAAGTTCAACTAAATATTACTGCTCATACATGTACATTGAGTAAGTGTAGAGTAATTTCCCTTTCAAGATTGTGTTTATAAATTATAAGATGCAAACCTGTGTGGCAAGATCTTTCTGTTTATCTAGCATGCTTTCTGTTCGTGATGTGATCTCATTCTTTGATCTTTCATTAGATTTCTCTAAATGAGCTAATAAAGAAAAAATTTACAATCATAAAATCCTTGATGCTCTTCACTGCACAGATTATTTTATTTCTTTGAAGGAAAACTTTTGGAATACCATATGTTCTTCATCTCCTAATATACATATATTCTAACTTTTTTGCTTGAATCACAAATAATACATTTTCCTCCATTTCTCCTTGCCTTATGGCCATAACTATGACAGAGAGGACAATCCATATACCACATAATAAGCATAAGTACAGGGCTCGATATTAATGCTTGACCGCTTGTTTTGTACCAGTGAAAAAGAATTACAGACAAGTGAATATTGATGGGCACTTGTCAGATTGGACAAGTGCATTTTAATGTAAAGGAGTCTCTAGATTATGTAAAGAATGACTGTTGAATCAGTAATTTCAAGATGGAAGCTGTATAACGTAAAACCGGACTTCGATCCCATAGGGATAGTTATTTATAGAGTTCACATTCGATTGGGTTCCAAGTTCACTATCTGTATACTACTGGAAAGGCGTGGAACTTACGAAGTTTGTATTCTGTTTGATGTTGACAGGTTCACTTGTGAACATTTATGTTGTTGTCAGGACAGAAAGCCCAGATAAAATTTCGTTTCATGTGTTTGTTGTATTTATCAATAACATCATGAATCAATCAGAATTTATTGACAAATTTTGGCAATAGTGAAGTTGAAGGTCGGACAAGTAAATGTTTTCATCACTTGTCCGAATGTACAAGTAGGAAAAAAGTTAATGTAGAGCTCTTATGTATAGTTTGCAAAGCCTTGTTTTTATAAACTTTCCTGCACTCCTAGAATGTGTTCAGTCCTGGTCACTTACTTTTCATTTCCTGGAAGCTTGCCTCCATGTCCTCAATGTCCGCCTCCAGTAGATTGATCCGTTTCTTGTTTTTGTGTTGTTCCACGTCGCGGTATTCCTTGCAGTAATCCACGTCTTTCTGGACGGATTTAATCTCCTCCTCTACATCAGTGATCTTCTTCTTTATTCCTATAGACACACACAAAACAGTGAATTTATTTCTTTACTCCAATACACATACAATGTACTAATATGTGTGGATATACATGTGTATTTATATCTCAGAAAAATAATGAGTGAACATTATTATATTCATTTGTAATATTTAAATCTGATTTAGTGAATGGTGAAAAAAGGACATAAAATGATTCAACAGAAAAAAATTCTTATCTTTGTGCTTAATTAAGTCCTTATCATTCTAAGGAATCAATTGGCATTGACACGTGAAATAAAACCTGATTTTTACTTCCCCTCTTTCTCTCAATTTTTACTTTAATTTACCCACAACTCTTGCTTTATTTGCCCTTTATCATGTTTATCTCTCTTTCGGTTTTATTAACATAAAATCCCCATTTTATTTCTCCTTGGCTTCATTTTCCAAAGCTCAAAGCCTTGGTTTATGTTGCCGATATCAACTGTTTTTACCTTCAATCTCTTTCTCCAAATCTCTCTGACGATCCCATTTATCCTTCATACACATGATGACATCCTCTCTGCGCTTTATTTCCTCGTCAGCAAAATACTGGTCGGCCTTCTTGGCTTGTTCTAATAAATGTTTTATCAAAACTTCTTGCTCTTCAAGGAGGTTTGCATTCTAAATGTAGGAGGAAAAAAAACATCTAGATTTCTTCTAAATTCAAAACAGAAAAAAACATGCATCAGAAAACAGAGTGCTATACATGGAATAAGACTGATATTTTTGTAAGGTGTGACATGTCAGTAGACATAAAAATAAATCCATTCTCTGTTGGTGTGAGAGTGCAATTGCTTTTAAAGATGCCTAAATCATATCTGTCAATTGCCATAGGTTTATTTGTCATAACCAGGCTCTCTAGCACATCTGTTTTCTTTTTAACACTGCATTTGGCACACAATTTATTTAAGGTAAACTAATGACAAGGAATTCACAGGACTTGACACTTCCTCAAAGGCAGAAATTAATGAAGTTGAAAATATAAATTCTGTCTTTGTCATATCAAGCACACCCTGATGATGATATTGTTTTGACACAGACAGTGCTAGGACACTGTTGATAATGAATATGAAGACACATTGGGGTTTGAAGTGTTAAATGCCTCCTTAGTTTTAACTCACTATTGAAATTCTATATCAGTTTGTTACTCACCCGATCTGAGAGCTTTTTGTTTTTCTCCTCCCATCCTCTGCTTTCATACATTACATCTTCAAGTTTCTTTTCAATTATTCCTATTCTGAAAAATTTGTTTAAGGTATGTTTGATAAAAATTATGTTTTTATTGATTCTGCTACATTTTTGCTCTTTAACTAACAACTTTGGTTCACTTTTTGTAGGCTAAAGAGGCTAATTAATGAAAGAAGAAAATTGATATTGATCATCTAACATGTTTAAATGTATTATATTATAAATATCTAATATCTACATACTGGTTGACTATCATATGATAGTAAACTACATACTGTTTGCCTAAAATGAAACTTAAAACTACATAAAGGTAGCCTAAAATGAAAGAAAACTATACATACTGGTATCCTAATATTGCCTCTTTAGCTGTCATCTGAGGTTCCTTGCTCTTTTTTCCTCCTTTCTTCCCTTTTTTCCCTCCTCCCCCTTTCTTTCCTTTCTTTTTACCCATTGTGGTTACAGTAAATCAAAATTCTGAAATATTGATGACCATTGAAACAAGTGAAATTTTTTTTAAAAATGACAAGATTCAGGAGTGGTCCATATTACAGTATATACTCGCCTATAAGTCGGTATTTTGGGAGTTAAATATTGGTCTAAAACTCTATGTCCGACTTATAGGCGAGTCATAAAGAGATTGGTATTTTTCTGGAGGCTGAAATGTAGTATTTGCATTTCTGACGATTATCAAAGAAAATGTCTGAATATATGTGATTATTTATGTATTCTTAGAGTACTTAAAGTACAAATATTTATATATCTTAATAATTTTAATTGTATTTTAAGTGAGCATTGACTTTTTGTTTCATGATTTAAGATTAAATATCAGTGTCATTTCGAAAATTGTTAATTGGAACCGTTCAAACAACAATGGAATTACTTGAAATTGTCGCCCAATTTTGGTAAAAAATTGTACCGACTTATAAGCGGGTCAAAAGCAAATTCCACCAAAATAACGTCAAAATATACAACCGACTTATAGGCGGACTGACTTATAGGCAAGTATATACGGTATATTTGCCAATTCACCCAAAAAGTACAACTTTTTTTGTTTGCGTGTAGCATCCACACAATTTTATTAAATCTTCTTTGGAAAGCATAATTTCTCTCTTTTTAAAAGTAAGCGCAGGAGTGTCACGAAGCACTGCTTGTCACTGCAAGCTCATAAAGCAACGCTTGGGCAAAGAGAAAATTTGGACTTTGCACAGAGAACCAAATGAACTCAGGCGACCAAAATTCCGCCAACTTTTTATCATCAATCTTCGGACATGTTTCTTGTGTCTTTTCAACATTGATTATCAATTTTTATGAATGCAGAGTTATTGTTCTTGTATTTATAATTTTAATACACATTACAGGGTCATCTATGCCATCTTTACCATAAAAATATTCTCAGACAACAATCTGTTCACTATTATTGATCACAAGTAATGCCTTCCACAAAATATAATCCCTTTGAAATACATGTAGAATACTTAGCCTGATAAATTTGAAGCATAACCACCTTTCAAGCTGATTTACTCCTTGCGTCATTTTTCAGAATCTATGACAAATAGTTAGTGCAATAATTTATGTTCGAAACGTACCCGCCCACATCAATTCCCATTGAAATGTTTAAGCTTGTCATTTATTACTTATAGATACATATGAGACAGACAATTGAATATTTTCGAATATGAATTATTAAGAGAATTGTTTTTTTCTTAAACACATGATAACGCAAATTCAATAAAAAAAAGTCGGTTATGTAAATTTACTTTCTGACTAAAAGCCCTAAAACATTATTTTAAAAATATTATTAGAAGACAACAGATCTCAGGGAAAAGTAACTCTTTCAAAAATCAAAATTGATCAAATGAGAAACTTCTAAATCTAATAGATCACAGTCAAGATTCGAGAATATTGTATCGAACTATGTAATTGTTGGAGCAAACTGTCCTCTACATCAATTTTAAAGGAGTGTTTGTGTCGTTGTATCATATCTTGAACATATATACTTACCCTTTTAGTATAAAAAGAGACAATATGAGTTAGGTAGCACTTGCTTTTCCCACCATTTTGTTTTGATTAGCAACATTGAATAAAGCTATTACGTTATTTTCGTATTTGGCCTAAAATAAGTCGTTCATTTATTGATTCGTTCATCTATTAAATATACAAATGGATAATCAAAGGGGATGACAAATAAATTCGTTGCAGGTTAAACATACAGAAGCTTAAAAAAAGAAGCATAACGAAAGCTATTTGTTTTCGAAGGTGTACTTGAAAGGATATTTTATGTTTTCGACTTCGTCCGTTGTCGAGCGACAATTTACAACAATTTTGGCATTTAGCATAAATTGCTTTTTAAAGGGGATTTCGCCCCCCCCCCCCCCCAAAAGATCCCTATGAAATAATTTGTAAGTTAAAAAAAATGTTGTTTTTTTTAAAGGTTGAGTTAATTTGAACTTAATATGTAAACAAATGTCAACATGTAAAATTTTATAGATAATATTCTATTGTGTATTTGGGGACCTTGGGGTGACTAAAACCATCAAAATTAATGCAAATTAAAGGTATGATGATTAAATTTGCCTATTTGTGGCTCCATGGTCAAAAAATCTGTAGGAGGGGAGTTCTATTGATTATATTAAATGAAAGTACCGCGCATTATTATGATGGAACTTTTTAACCATACACAGAGACGTATGCGTAGTCATGGGCATCGGTTGTACAATAAACCTGCAATATACACGGCGTCTCTTTTGATTCATTACTACCTTATGTAAATCAACAGTTAGGTCTACATCATATTCGCACCAAACTTTACTCTGTTCCTCTAAACCTTTTAAATAGTCTTCTTAAAAAGGCCAAGGAAAGTCCAATTTTTGATTACTCGACACCAGAATATAGGCTTGGATCTGTGATTATGGATATTGCAAATCATAGGCTTTTTAAACCCGCACGTTTTACGGAAGAAAATGCAGCTAAAACAATCCGTCTTTTCCTTAAACTTCAATATGCCAATAAAGGAATTGACGATGTTAATATAAGTAACATTCTTAATCACAAAAGAGTCCCGTCTTGTATGCCACATTATTTCATGTTAAGGACTAAACCTTGTATTTCCTACAAATATACATCGACCATTGCTTCCAAACTTTTCAATTACAAAAAAACTTTACATGGCAGTGTGCGCAGTGGCGTAGCATCGTTTTTGAAAGTGGGGGGGCCAGGCAGAGAAAAAAAAAATTTTACTTACCTGAAAAAAAGTTGACAAGCAAAAAAAAAATAAAAAAAAAAAAAAAAGGTAAAAGTTGCCCGAAGTCGAAAATCCTATTTCGTGGGGGGGGGGGGGGGGGGGGGGGGGGGGGGGTTGTGGGTAAACTCTTTTTCAGTGTCAACTACTTTTAGTACCAATTCTTATACTACATTTTCGGTACATTTCTAAAAGTGGGGGGGCCAAACAGGCTTTGAATTCACATTTCCTATCGTGTAAGTAAGGTTGGGAAAAAAAGTGGGGGGGGCCAGGCCCCCCCTTGCCCCCCCCCCCCCCCGGATACTACGCCCCTGCATGGCCTGGATACCGAGTATCTGAAACATAACCCTCCATTGTGTTCATGTTCTTCTTCGCCCTATAACTATAGTCCTGCTGGACACGTTATTACAGGTGACGTAAATATAGTTAATAATGCGGACTTTAGATCACTTTTTTTAAAAGGTCCTAAATATAGGGAACCCCGATCCTTCAACTGGCGTCGGAATTTCATAAATATTATGGATTCTGTTGAAAATTCGCGTATTAAGAGATTGAAAAATCATCTATCCTCCTGTGTTCAATAATCCAGAAGTGAAAAAAGAATTAGTACTGATCAATACGTACTGGTCCCTGCCGACAAAGCAGGTGACAACATTGTCTTCGTTTGTAAGGCTCATTATATAAATTGTATTTTAGAAGAACTTGGATATAATTCTACGAGTGGTTATCCTACTTATACTCATACTTCCCTTTCTAAGGAAGAAATTCTTCAAAATCATATGTCAGTTTTAAATATTTTTAATGTTCCATAGAGCCAAAATGAATTTGAACTACCCTATATATATTTGATTCCAAAACTTCATAAAAATCCTTACAAACACAGATACATTGCGGGTTCCAATAAATGTTCAACCAAGCCTTTTTCGTTAATCCTCACTAAGATATTGACAGTAGTGAAGGAAAAACTTCAAGAGTACTGTGCAACAATATATTCAAGAAGTGATGTGAATCATATGTGGACACTCAAAAATATCCAAAAAACTTTTGGACAATTTGAAATCATAAGATTTTATTAAAATCAACAGCTTAAAAACTTACGATTGTTTAAAGGTACTTGGACACAGATTTGAAGTTAATATTTTCTCATTTTTTCTGTATAATATCACGAATTATATATTTTAATAGCATTTCACGCAAAAATTAATTAAAAATCTTATTTCGTTTAAAAGTCATTAAAACTTAAAATTCTTTGGCGGGTTTGATTGACACATCCTTGCACTTTCATAGATTTTAACTTTATTCTTAATCCTTAGGAAAAGTGGCAATTTTGATGTGTTTTAATGAGAAATATTAAAACTTTTATCAAGAAAAATAATTTTATTCAGAGTAGAAATGTTAGAAAGCAAAACACCTTCACAAGTATCGTCATTCCGAACTAAGAGGTGCGTGCAGAATTCAGCAAATCGAGCACACTCGTGTTATGTACACAGTTTTTGTAAACAGGGCTCGAGTTCTGTTATTGTTTATATTTAGAATTCACTGGGTGCGTTCAATCGTCACAGTCTGCTTACCACAACTGCACGGACTGACAATATATTGTGTGTTTGTTTTGCTTTCGAACGTGTCTACTCTGAATTTTCTGGATCATAGTATTAATATTTTTCATTTATACAAAACGAGATTGCCACTTTTCCTAAGAATTACGAATAAAATTAAATTTGTGAGAGTGCAACGATATGTCAATCAAACCCGCCAAAAAATTTAAAATTTCAATATCTTTTAAACGAAATAAGATTTTTAATTAATTTTTGTGTGAAATGCTATTAAAATATATAAGTCGTAATATTATAGAGAAAGTAATAACTTCAAATCTGTGTCTAAGTACCTTTAAACAACCATTCCTCACGATAAATTAAAGTCCAGGCTTTTTGATACCATTGACAGCTGCTTTTTCAATAAACTCGTAAATTTACTTATTTGTTCATTGGCCTTTCAAAATTATTTTGTTAAAACACATTCTGATTGCACACACAAGTACTCTGAAGTGACATCAAAAAGATGCTTGAGTTTCTGATTGACAATGTCTATGTGGTTTTTGGAGACCAGGTATTCCAACAACCTATTGGAATTCCCATGGGTACCAATTGCGTCCGTTATTAGCAGACCTAATTTTATATTCATATGAAGCAGAATTTGTGCAAAATCTTATGCGTAAAAAGAAGAAAACACTTGCTGTGGTCTTCAACTCGACATTTAGATATATCGACGACGTATTGTCAATTAACAATGGTTATTTCCATTCCTGCGTCGATACGATATGTATAGGTTACATCAAAGGTGCCAAGTAGTATTGATTAAATCGTTTTCATGGGGCGTGGAAATCGAGGGCGCGGAGCACCCGAGATTTCCACGCCCTATGAAAACGATATATCCAATAGTAGGAGGCAATCTATGATGTAGTAAGCAACTTGTCGCATGTCTGATGACGTAAATTTCATTGAGAGTGTATGGGCAGCGGAAAGGGCAAAAATTACCATAATGTGAAAACAAACAATTATTTTATTTTCAATGACCATAAAAACTTAACAAATGATATACAATGCATAATGAACAGACGTTTTCGCACAACAAATATACATTAAAGCAAAACCAACGACCACGTACGTAACAAATATGTATGAATGCAAAACCAACGATCATCTTTGCAGCACAATCGTACATAAAAACACGACAAGCGAAAAAAACTTAACAAACTTGCAAGCGGTAAATATAGTCCTCCCGGATCCCGACGGTCCCAGTTTTTTTTCCGCAGTATCACCTGTCAAAAAGCGACAAATCTAGTACTCGGCTACAAATGCGAAAACCACTGTAAAAAGGATACCGATGTTTTAGTAGAATCGCAATTAAAAACAACAAACTGAGGTATATTTTTTTAATAAATGAAAACCCTCATTTGCATGCAAGATAATTTGTATGCACAAAAATTCCCCACACATTTTTTTCGTATAGGACTCTTGGTAGCTGCAGATCTGTAGCGTTATGGTTTTATGTATTTGTCTTTGACCATAACGCTACAGATCCGGTAGTGCAAAAAAAGTGCAATTTACGGCGCAATATTTTTTGCGCTCTTTTGGGGAGAATTTCTCCACTTTCTAGCATTGGTCAATCAACTACCTTTCAACTCCTAATTCTAGACACATTTTGTAGCCAATATATATAGTTTATCCACCTCCCAACCATTTATAGTTGTCTCTACAGGCAATAAACTCGCTTGAAGTGAATTTTCAGTTATCTAACAAATAATTTTAATCAAGCGAGTTTATTACTTGTAGAGACGTCTATAAAGGGTTGGGAGATGGATAAAATACACAGACTAGTTAAATAATGTGTCTAGAATTAGGAGTTGAAAGGTAGTTGATTGACCAATGCTGGAAAGTGGAGAAATTCTCCCCAAAAGAGCGCAAAAAATATTGCGCCGTAAATTGCACTTTTTTTGCACTACCGGATCTGTAGCGTTATGGTCAAAGACAAATATATAAAACCATAACGCTACAGATCTGCAGCTAGACTCTTGGCCACATCATGTTTATATTCCCAGGCTCTACAATTAACATGGACGTGGTTCTACCTCGTACCCCCTTGAATTTTTCCTCTTTTTTTTGTTAATTTATCCTTAAAATTTCAAAAAAAAAAAAAAAAAGAATTTACATAAAATTGAAATAAAATCTCATTCTCCTGAATGCCGTTTCGTCATTTTTTATTTTTTGGTTTTCTCCATTTCTTTAAATATTACAAGAATCTACATTACAGTGACATATCATATTACAGGCACGTAGCAAAATTCCCCAATTTTAAGAAAAA